CTGAAGGCGAAAGGGGGTCAAACACCGTATTAGTATGGTGTTCCTAATAATCCTTTAGGTGAGTGTATAACTGTCATGAAGCTATCAGTCGGATCTTCATTGTGTAAACTCAGTACACTGTAAATCTCTTAATTATACATAATGACTAACGTTTGGATGTCTCTTTGAAACAAATCATTTTTGCAATGTTTCACGTTTCATATCCGGGTTAAAGATTGAGTTAGACTGACTTAGTCGATTGTTCAGTTAAAAGATTAAAACATACTATAATTTGAGGGTAATGATCTAATGGTGAATCCGGTAATAGTTCCACAGACACAGGAAGGATCCAGGAAAGTACTGAGACCTCTGACCCCCATTCCTGGCTAATAACCACACAGCAAGCTATCAGCTGGCTTGGCCATGTGGCATCGTCATGGCAACCCCGCCCTCCCCTGGGTGCCCAGCAGCAGCAACGCCACCTCTCCCAGTACAGCAATGCGCCGACGGCCGTCCCGCCCCGCCCATACCTGTCCGGGCCAGGCCTCTCCACCCGTGCTCCCTCCTCCCATCCGCAGAGAGCACTCCAATCCTTCACGCGTACAGTACACTGGCTGCCCTCTGGCAGTGTGGGGGGGGGGTGGAGGGGGGGACTCCATCCCAGAGATCTGGTCTCTAAATCATTGAGAACATAACAGCACAAGGAAACGGTGATTTAGACTAATTAAGTGTGACACGAAGCAGTTGAGTCATTGCGGCATTACACCACAGTAATTCAAGCCTAAATATGCGAGCGGTGTCAAAAAACAGCGCAAAGGACCAGCAACATTATCGGTCTGCTGCTCCTTTTTTAATTACTGCAAATCATAGTTATCATACCTGCGCACAAGGTAAAACTCAAGGGAAGTTGTTACGGGAAACAGCTATGTGCCTGGAGATTGATGCGTTTTTCCCAGACACCAGAGCAGCCAGTCAGACCTAGAGGTAACCATACAGGTTGGTACCTCCACAGTCCTGGCCTTCGGTACTGCAGATATTTGCCGGCAGGAGCAATCCTGCGGGAAGCTGCCATTCCAGCCTCTGGAGGTGGTGTCACGTCGCAGCACTGTTATTGCATGTCTGAAAGCCCTGGTTCTGCTGCGGCCTGCAATCTGCGGGGCGAGTTTGGGCTACGTTGGGGAGGATTCTCTCTCACATCCTCCAGTGTGACTGATCACCTGTTGGTCTTTGTGGCAGCCACTCCTTTGTTCCTTGGAAACGGGTTTCCTGCTAATGGGGGGATCCCTCGGGAAACCTACTGGCACTTCACTGGGAGGGAGGGAGGGCCTCAACCTGGAAGGAGAGGAGGTGAAAAGGGGGGGCGGGATTTGAAGTTTGGGTGTGAATGTAGGGTGGATTCTCCTGGGACCCTGCTCAACTAAAACACACATTATGCTTATTAACATTGTTACACTTATAAATTGTTGAAAAGAAATAAAGCTATGTATTCTTCCAATGATAGAGTCAACCTTTACGCAGCTAATGTCAACACACTTGTTAGATTTGGCTACATTTAATTAGTTCATATTAGTTTGTTTCCATTTTAATAGAAATGCATGAAAGTTCAAGATGTTTTCATTTTTATTTGTCCATGCTAAAAAAAACATCAATTACAGGCTAAAATATTTACTTTCAATTGCAACTTTAAAATAATATTGCATAGAGTGGATGGGAATTTTAAAAAAATGGTGCTATTTCATGATTGACAGGACAGAAACCAATAGGGAGGCGCTGGCTGGTTGAGCTGTGGACGGCAGTACTTTTAAGGAACAGGAGGGGGGGCTACTCTCAAAGAATAGCAGTCGAGCAACAGTGGCCCACGTTCTCGCACTTGTTTTGCTCAGCTGTGTTTATATGGATTTTGTTATGACTTTGTGCGTCACGAGGTCTTACGATTCATAGTTACGCCTAATTAATTATGGCTAATTGACGCCTACAGCCTCTTCGCCGGCAGTGTCCTGCCACACCACCCGCCCTCCCTTCCTCCCTCACAGTGTCCATGTTAGCAAGGTGGAGGCCCCATCGCTGTGTGCACATCAGCGTGCGAGCACAGCACACTGGGCCGGCCATGGGGCCACATGACACGGGGCTACAAGAGCGTCGTATGCAGGATAGGCAGTCGAGCATGGCCCGGCTCTTCACAGGCCAGGAGCGGATGTGGCGTCTGTAGGCGTGTACATGCCGCACACGGCTTTGGCAACAGGGGTGGGGGGTGAGGCGGATGACAGGCTGGGTTCCACGAAAGCAAGCGAAGATGCAGAGGGATGTGGTGAGAGTGTAAGGTGAGGTTGCTGCGGTCTTCCTTCTGCTCGTTCTTCCTGAAGCATGACATGGGGTTAAATCAGTGTGGAGCAGCTCATTGCCCCAAGTACATGGAAGCTCAGGGACCCGGGGGGGGTGTCTTTACAGCTTCCGCTATTTGTTGTATTACTCTATGAGATGAGAGCTTCACAGCTAAACACACACTCAAAGTGCATTTCTAAAATTATTTAGCCATGTAACCTTATTCAGATACTGATTGCAAAAAATATATATTTGAAAAGTAATACACCCAAGTCATGAGTTATTCATTTCGACGTCATGAGACAGCCAGGTAACCGGTGCAGGTTCTGCATCGATAATTAATCCTCTCGCCGTCATGACTGGTGTGACAGAGCATCTCCCAGAATGCGGCCATCCCCAGGCTGGACAGACCTGTGCGTTTGGCCACGGCGGCCCAGCAGATTAATACCCATTCGTGGCAGCGGGACTGGGCCGATGAAAGTTTAATCCTCTGCTTACATACATCTTCGGCAGCAGAAATCAGTCTGCTCAGGAGGTTATGTTACATTTCCCCCAATGATCTCAATTCAAGAGGGACACTCAGATGAGAGAGCACACAGGCGTCAGAGGTGGTTTTTAACCAGTTTTAATTAACCCTGATTACAGTTTAATTACAAGTTGAAAGAAAAAAACAAAAAATAATAATCAAAGAAGAAGAGGTTCAATGTTACATCATGGTATTATGTCTCATCCCTCCATTTGAGTGTTATATAACCGAAGAGAGGGAGGGGAGAGAGGGAGAGACTGTTACACAGGAAAATACACTTTACTTTGAAATGATATAATCCCCAAAATGAAAAAATATACAAGAGCAAAACAGAAAAGTAACATTATGAAATAAAAATTACAATACGACGAGATAAAATCATGACCCCCCCTGAAGATAATCAACGCACTCCAACCACGTCCCCATTAACCACAATCACTCTTCAATTACAGTGACTGCCAGCTGAATTACAATTACAATCCTTTAAATGTTATGTTACACTTTTTAAAATGGTTGCACTGTAAAAACTGGGGAGGGTCAGCAGAAAGAAACAAAGGGGGGGAGGGTGAGGTGGGGGTAGGAGTAGGGAGAGGAACCTATCACTGAATGTGATGAACACTATCTACGGGAAAGGGGGGAGGGGGAGGTAAATAATTCAATAATAATATTAATAATAATATTAATAATAACAACAGCAATAATAATGAACAGCAATATTGACATCAGAAGGAAACATACAAAGGGGAAAACAATCTTCTAAATAATATTCGATGTATATTTCCCGTACCGTGTGCCTCTCTGTCATATTCAAAGTCCCATCCAGGTGCCAGACGGGATGATTTGATCATTTTTCTAGCTGCTCCCCCAAAGCGGAGGGGTGTGTAAAATTTGGTAGGGTGCCCTCTGTAGCGTTTTGTGGGAAACGCAGGTGGCAGTGAAAACCGGGGTATGGTATGTCGGTGTGCAGCCGGAGACAGGGCCACGTGCGCATGAGCGGGCAGGAGGAGGCAGGGAGGGAGGCACAGGGAACATCAGGTGTGTCATTTCAGATACAAAGAGACGTAAGGCAGCTGTCAGTTGGAGTACAGACAAGGCAGGAGGGGCAGGGAACCCAGGCCAGTACTCAGGTCCACTTGGGGCAGCCGGGAGACGCCCTCAGGGCTCGCGGGCCCTCGGAATGCCATGACGACGTCTGGACACGTCTGACCGGATTCCCAGAGGCTCCTCGTTAACCAACGTGATTCTGCACTCTGGAGCCGGTCGCGGGGCAGGGAGGGGGCGCCCCTATACTGCAGAGCTCTCAGCCCCCGGAGGGGGCGCCCCTATACTGCAGAGCTCTCAGCCCCCGGGCGGGGTGCCCCTGCACCGCCTCCCGCAGGCAGGGCCAGAGAGACGCCGTAGAGTCCGAATTAGCAGCCTCTCAAAGTGGCTTCGGTCCCAAAATAGAGACAGGATTTCCACATGCTTATGGCTCTGGATCTCCGCATCCCCAGCGTGCTGAAGCGGTCACGGGTGCAGCGGGGGCGCGCTCTTCCTCAGTCTGGCAGCCCCTGTCCACGTCACACAACTGGACTGGCCAGAACCACAGCCTTGGGCCAAAACTGCACGTGGTGAAGGGGGGGCCACAGCCCCCTGCTGCCTGTGTTTCACGGCTTTTTTTAGACTCCATTTTCAAATATTTTTTTTCTTTTAAAAAAAAAAAAAATCCCATTTGTTTCCCTGCAAAATATCTTAAAATGACATAAAAAAAAATTAAGATCCCAACTAACCCAACCAACCCCCATCTAGAAATCACCCCATAAAATGATTTCCCCTTAATTTTTTTCTTGGTTTTTCTTACAAAAATCCTGAATCTGGCTTTATTAAATGTTATCTTAAAATCTCTCTCCATTTATAATATTTTATATATAATATATAAAAGGTATAGTTTATGTGTGTATATTTCCATATTTTGCTAGATTTTTTTACATGCTATAAAAACAAGGCAAAGAGTAGGCAGTGAGTTTGTTCCGGCACTCCCTGCCCCTCCCTGGTGCTCCCGGGCCGGTTAGCGTAAAGGCGGTGCGGTTCGTGTGCGTGTCCGTCTGCCGGGCTTCAGCCAACGCAATCAAATCTGACCAGTGAGGCTCCAGGGAGGGGGGAGTGACCCAGCGGCCCTGATTCGCCGTGAAGGGGTGACCATGTGACCCGCAGTGCTCCTCACCCTAATCTCCACCCCCCCTCTCTGCTATCACTGCCACTCTTTCTTCTCCTCCCCCCTCAAGCACACAAGCTCCTCCCCCCCCCCACCACGGTTCATGGTTATCCCGCTCACTTCTCCGCCCTCTCTAGACAATGCCTCAAAGGTCATCATGACCCCTCCCCCCCCCCCCCCCCCCCCC